ACTTGACAAGCATGGGTTCATTCTTGCAATCACTTTACATGTTAGATGAAACCAACGGCAAAGGCCCCGCTCTTTCCTTTTTTAATTGAACATATAGTTAATAATAACATTATAAATATATTAAATTAATAAAAGGTCCATAAAATCTAGCAAAAAAAAAAAAAACTCTAATGGTCTATTTAGGAATATAATTTTAATAGGATATATTTGAATATGAACATTTCAAATTTAATATTATTATTTATTTTGATATAAATAAAATATATTTAAATTTAAATAAAATACATGTATTTTACTATAAATATTTTAAAAAAGATAAAATCATATATTTCAAATTCAATTTAAAACTCATAAATTCCAATTTCAAAGTGAATTTAAAATTGCTGCAGCACTCTCCCCATAGGTCGACGGTTATGAAGCCTGCATTATGACTTCTATTCATTGTCGACTCTGCCACTGCTCTCTCGCCATCTCGTCGTTCGCTAATTTTGTTAATTAGTGAAATTTCATAATTTCGTTCAAATTAAATTTTATTTTTCTTAAGTTTTATTCTTTATTTTAATATAAATATTTAGTTCATAAATATGATTTTAAATTTTAATATTTTTATTTTAAATTAATTTAATCTACTAAAATTTTGATATAATTCTTTTTTAAAAAATAAAAAACAATTTTATTTATAAAATATAAAAAGTACTCTAACTTATATACAACATACTCACACTTAAGTATTTTAATCGCATGCCACCATAAAAAAAAAAAAAAGATGGTAGTACCCAAATTATAAATACGATTTGCTATCCGGCACTTGTTAGGAGTTTGACACCAATCCGAATAAGAGTATGGCCAGCCTTCGATGAACCCATTAATCCACCAAAAAGAACGGTGCTGAAGCGTCTCAAACGCGGCTTCCACAGTTCTTTGTTTCCATTAAAATTGCAGTTGTACTTTGTTTTTTTCTACTTTTATCATTCATTTCTTTCTCCTTTTTTAGAAAAAAAGATGATTTTTCATTCTATAACACGGATATCGAGATTGTTGACTTGACCAGTCACGTAGATATAAATCACCCCATTTACAAGTTGCTGGCAAGGACAGACATTTGAGAGTGATAGATATGATTTAGTATTTTAATAAAATTATATATCAACTAACATTTGAAAATGATAGAAATGATAGATTAAAATTATTTTCAACTAAAAAGGTTAGCTGGATTTGAATACAAATCTTTTTAACTACTAAAGGTAACTTAATGCATTACAAAAGAAAATATTTTTAGTGATAAAAATTTATGTTAAATTTTAAAATTGTTATTATAATTTATCATAATTGTAATATATTTTAAAAATTAGTTACAAATGTGCATATGTTTAATAATGGAAAAAAATTCATTATTGAAAAAATATTTTGTCATTGTCATATAATAATAAAAAGAATATAGGTTTATAATGAGAAAATTCATTATTACAATTCATCACAATTATAACAAATTATAAATATTGATCATAAATACTTATATGTCCAACAATAACAAAAAAAATTCATTATTAGAAGGTATTTTATCACTTAAAAACCATCATAAAGATAATATAGGCTTATGAGAGTGAAAATTATCACTAGAACTCATCACAATTATGATACATTTTAATTATTAATCATAGATACCTACATGTTCAATGATGATGAAATAAATTATCTATAAAAAATGGTCACAAATAGAATATAGGCTTTTGATTATGAAAGTTATCACTACAACTTATTATAATTGTAATAGATTTTACCCACTTTCACCCATAGTATATTTTAATAACTAAGAATTTTTTAAATTTTCATTTTAAGCAGATAATTAGTTTTTGAAGAAAAAACTTGATTGCATAATAACTTAAGTTAGGGATTTAAGTTAAAAGGAAATGCTATATATACCTTCATCTGTTATACACTTCGTTACACACACTTACTCTTGTTACTTTCCATTTACTCCATTAACTCCTGAATGCATCCAGCCCAGTCGACTAAATAGTGAAGCAAGAAAGTAAGACTAGACTAAAAAAGGACAATAATCATTTTCCATTCAAACTCAAAATTCAAAGAGATTGAACCTTAACAACCACCATGACAAAAGTTGAATTTGAGTAAAAAAATTAAAGAAAAATCAAGAAAAGATATTGGATGGAGGAATCTAAAAGGGATCTTCTTGTGAACTCAAAAATCTAGGTTCACAAAGGATATGGTTTTGTTGTGGAATCCTACATTTGGGTTCATCTTGAAACCTAAAAACTAAACCCAAATAGATTCGCTACATAGCATTGTAGGTTTGGTTTTTGTCGATTTTTTAGGAAATTGAAGGATTTTTAAAGGAAATTCAAGAGTAAGAAGAAAATTAAGGCAATGACACTAGCTTTGAATTCCTCAACTAGTAGGGTCCAACCATCTGTCTTTTGTTAGGATTTACGATGACACCTTTCTCCAACTCTTCCATTGCTTTAAATGCCACTTGGAAGCTTAGCTCCATCTCCACCACAAACTCATTTGTGAACCCGATCCGACTAACATCTAGGTGCAACTCGAGCTCTTTGTGCTGGTACAACTAGTCAACGTACCACCTCCACAGCATGTAAGGATCTTTCTCAAGTCGCTGGGTTCTTAAATCCTTATCTTCAACCTCTAAATCCTTTCATTTTCTCTCATTTTCCCCAACACTAGATCTGGGTTCCTTCGTAGGTCCCACTTGCTTAACTTCATGCTCTATGTCGGTGAAACTAACGATGATAAAGAAGAGGAAAATGAGGCCGTGGATGATTAGGATGAGGATGGTGATGAGAACCCCAAAGAGAACAATGAGACCCACAGCACAACAAGGGATTTCTAAACTCTAGGAAAGCCAAATTAGGTTTATAATAGGACCTTGACCCGTTGTTTATGTCGCAACAAGAACTAAAGGTAAAAGCCTTGTCCCGTTGTCTATAATGCAACAAGAACCAGAGGTATAAAGTTGGTTGACGCCACACCCTCAAACGATCAAGAACAAAAATGATAAGTCAGGTTAGAACACCACAAGAATAATCTTGATAAATTTTATAAAATTCTGAAATGAGCCAAAGAGAAAAGTTTCTCAAAAACTCAGATTCGATCGCTCCCCTAATTAGGGTTACAAGCTCTTTAAATAGGGAATAGGAAACTAATACCCTAAACCCTAAACCCTAATCCTAATAACTACGAATTGTGTCTCAAATAAATAAATGTTCAGCCTAAAATAATACCAAAAACATGAAAATCACTGAAAGTAACCTAAAGTAACATGAAATATCAGTTTGTTATAAATTGTGACAGAATTATGGGATTTTGACGTAAACTAAGGTAAAAAAAAGAAGAAAAAAACAGCTAGAGGAATGAGAGAATAAAAACCTTTAAAATATTTATATTGATAATTATATAATTAAATGATTTTAAGGTTATATTAATAAACAATTTAACCATGTTATTAACTTTTATCATATGGATATTTCATGTAATTTAAGTAAAGAAAAAATATAAACTTTTCTTAATTAATATGTCACATTAAAACTTAACAAGAAGTATTAAGAAGGTTAAAACCAACTTTTAATCCCTTACATTACAAAATTAGTAGGTTTTAACCCATAACCTTATAGTATGACACTTTTAACCCTTTATCTTATAAAGTTGGTAGGTTTTAACCCCTCACCTTACAAAATTGGTAGGTTTTAACCCACCACCTTGTATTATGACACTTTTAACCCTTTATCTGTACATATTGAAGAAAATAGCCCTTATTTAACATTAAGTTATAATGTTCTATTAATTCTATTAGTTAACTATCAGTTCTGTTAATTGGCTGTCAGTCTTGTTAGTTGGTTGTCAATCTTGTTAGTTGACTATCAGTTCTGTTAGCTAATTGTCAGTCTTGTTAGCTGACTGTTAGTTCTGTTAGTTAACTATTAGCATTTGTTAGCATTCCGTTAATGGAACTAACAAATAAAATTGAATTTAAATTTCATGTTTTTTGTAAAGGAATGCTAACGGATAATAACAGTCAACTAACAGAACTAATAGAACGTTATAACCTGATGTTAAGCAAGGGCAATTTTATTTAATTCCTATTAGTGATGGGCTAAAAATATCATAATATAAGGTAAAATGTTAAAACCTACCAACTTTGTAAGGTGAGGGGCTAAAACTTATCAACTTTATAAGATCAAGGGTTAAAACTGTCATGTTATAAGGTGAGGGGCTAAAACCTATCAACTTTGTAAGGTAAAGGGCTCAATGTTCGTTTTTGCCTATTAAAAAGAAGTCCAATTTTTTAAACTTTAAGGATTAAAAAAAGATTTTTTTTAAATAGTAGAGGACCAAAAAAAGTATTTAACTTAAGTTTTAATTTTAATTGTCTTATTTATGTTATTTGAATGTAATAATATTTTATTTTTTAATATTAAAATATAAATATTTATCTAACATTTATGTTTTAAAATATAAATAATTAATTTTTAATCATTAACTTTAAATTAATTATAAAATTAAAGTCATATAAAAATATAAAAAAATAAAGTGAGAGTGACGAAGAAATAAATAATGTATATTTCAATCATTTTAATATTAATAAATTTTTTATAAAAAAATTTACTAAATAATTTTCTACTCTATAAGTACTTCTATAAAAAATTTTATCAAACATTATTAATTTTTTTTTAATCATTAACTTTAAATTAATTATAAAAT